AGCTACTATAATTTCTCGACTATAAGGTAACTTGTAAATTTTTTCAAAGAAACTATCAACTAAAATTAAGGTTGATATCGTCTCAAAAAATAGTTTATATAGTTCAATCGTTAGTTTTTAGGTTTTATAATTGCAGAAAATGTAATCTCAGATAACATCCATACAATGAATTTTGATTGTTGTGCTTAGTATTAATTATGTTCCATATATATCATTCTGATTTTATATAACTGGTTACATTTTTTGTTTTAGTAAAAAATTGGAACATGACTAGCATATTCGACATGTGAGATGGTAACCATTATATTTACTTTAACTATTTCATTGAAAAATATACACTGAGAATTCAACCAAGCATTTGTTTCGCAATCAAACGTTTTCTTGTAAAGTATTTATAATTTAATATTTATAAAACTGTTACTTGTAACACAAAATTATTCACAATTGTGGCTACTAAAAGATTCTATAAATGATTATAGGTAAGTAGGTCATGAAAACGTGCCGCCTCTCAGTTTTAAACTTTACTAAATGCCCAAGGACACACGACAAATACCACACGCATCTGTATAACTGGTTGCCTAAATGATTCATATCTTACTAAAAAATAAAACTAATTCATTACAATAAAAAGAATGGCTATTAAACGTCGCAGTAAATATTGAAAATGTTGACCATTTTGTTCAAGGTACATGTTCACTCTATTTTTAATTTGAAAAATTTTCTGTAATCCTTTCGTCAATACCCATTGTAAAATTTTATGTTGCAACAGCAACTCCTGAGTGCTGATGAAATTTTGGCAAATATGTTTGCGGATTCTGCTCAAGTCGTCACAAATCATCAACAACTTTCTCAGACACTGAAAGTCTTCCAGGAGATTTCCCTTTGTCGCCACTGTCAGTTCGAACAAATCTGTCGATTACGTGGCTAATGTGAGCTCTAACGAGGTTTCTTGAATTATCAAATAACGATGTTTGCCTACAAGCAATTACACCCACTCTTCATTTACGAATGTATTATTGCCATAACATAACATAACAATGGAAGTGTCTTGTTCGACACAATAAACCACTTTCACGGTATTTGCTTCCTAGCACAAAAACAAAATTTTCGTACGCAAGCACCAAGAATTTTGAAAACGACTATTTTGTTGTTTTGAACTTAGATCAACGAGAATTACTGTAATTCACACGTGAAAAACGTTAGAACAGTAAAAGCGATGACTTTAAATGATAGGTTACAAATGACGTTAATGACAAGTGAGAACTGTCATAATGAGGCATAATTTCAGCGAAGCGGGATTTTTGAAATCCATGGCCAACTACGACCTTAGAATGATTTATAAATACCCTGTAGTTACTGCATATACTTATTTAATTGTAATTTATTAATGCCGTAATGTCTAGCTTTCCAGTCTAGAACATAATCAATAATAATTATCAGTAATCTGTATTTTATTTACGTACAGTATATCAGATCCAGATTTGCTCCTACATAAGCTATTCTGATGTTTATTATCGTTTTCACAAATGGATCCTTGATGCGTGTTCGTTATGCCCCGAATTTCTTGGTTGATGTGTCTAGACGAAGCCATAAATTATCTCAAAGCAAAAAACAAATACCGAAAATTTTTGTTATTGATCGTGTGTGCAATGTGTCTGCTAGACATAAACACATTTTATTTTGCTATTTACTGCAATATTGTGTTAAAATAATTAATTACAATTTTTGTCCGATTGTTTGTTTGTTTGCTTGTTTGTTACTACATAAAAACAATACGCAGTTGGTGTTATTCAAGTTTGTTTGCAAGTTTCATTAATTTTTGTGCAACAAACGATCTTTGTTATGTAAATGTTCAATTTGTATGTAAAAGCCTAAACAAGGTTATATAAAATGAATGAATAGCAATTAACGAACTTGAAACGAAAGTTCTGTTTTGCCCATTATATCGCACGTGAAAGAGTTTGAGAGTTATAAATTTGAAAGGTTATGCACTTGTTATGACATTGATTAAGTAATTACGAATATGAAATTTAAACTATATTTTCGCGGCGCATCCACTAAATTTATGCTATAGCCAAAAGCGTTTGGCGCAATGCAATGACTTTAGTTTCAACTTCCTCAATTTTCTGTAGAGAGTTTTCACCAGATTTAAATCATCTTCGTAATAAATCTGTGTGGTGTTCAGCAAATTGCCGGCTGTTATTTTTTATTTTGTTTTCAGCAATGGCTGAATTTATGTATTACTTATTTCTAGAATTGTGACAGATAATAACGTGTTTTCCAAGAAAAATAGACTGTGCAGTAGTTGTAGTAGAATATTAATCTAGTCTTAAGTACACTCGCTCTCGGAGTAATAATTGGGTCTATTGTCCCACTCTAACTAGCAATCTTTTTTTTCTTATTTATCGCGAAGGATCTGAGCAACAATTAAGGAAACGTCGGGATATCAGCATCAAAATCTTTTTTTATACCTCCATACTTATTTGCATCTCATGTCTTAAATCTGTCCAGTTTGTCACCACTTTATTTTCCATCTTTTTATCTACTGCCGCTCCATTTCGTGCCACAATCTCCCTTTTTATTACCACATTTTCATCAACTCGCTTATTCACGCAATCATTTTTCTTCTGAATCGCCGCTTTTCTCTCTCCTTCCAAGTCCAGTCTCCGAATTTATTCCTTTGCAACACTTTAATGAAAATATACTTCCTTAGCTTACGCTCAGGACGTAAAAAGTGATAACAGACTGATTGAGTTCTGGTGGCGATTATTAAATAGAATATTGGAGTATACATCATGTAACACTACTTCTAAAATAAATAAAATAACTAACTTTTAGTAATAGTCTTCTTTAAACTTTTAACCATAACATAAATAAATGTCGTTCGTCCAAAAAAGTTCCGACAAACAGCGTTTCGTAATTTAAAGCAAGAAAACCGAAATTAAACTTTCGTTAGAATGATCTTGTTAGTGCTCCCCGTAGCTATCGTTCGAAAAAAAAAATCGCTCGATAACAACGATTCAAGAAAGTGACGTTTTCTAGGAATAATTTGAAAACCCGACGCGATTTTAACGAGTTTTAAAGTTGCCTGATCGAAAGTACTACTCAATTTATTTTGATCGGAAACTCTACTCCTCGACGATTACGGCAGGACTATTCTAACGATTGCACCATCTTGTCCATTAAATATCTCATTATCGAAGTCGTCCTTATCCCATTTTGACGTCAGCCAGTGAGACGGCTTTAACCTTATAAAAGTTTCAATAGTTGAGTATCGATCGAGAACGTGATGGTTTTCGAAGGTTATTTTGGTGGGGGATATGTGAGGGGTAACCATTTGGTCTACAAAAGGAGTTCATAAAAGTTGATTAAACTTTTGCAGGTATTTGTAGTTTTTTAGCTGTGTGTAGAATTCTTTGGCGTATCTGAACACTCGATAGGGGAGAGTAGAATGAAAAGTTAGAACACTTTCATTATCTTTTCATTTATTACTGCCGTATTTTCTAAATAATATAGTTCATATGATACCAGGACGTTATCCATTGATCATAGTTTTAAAATTTTATGAAGTAAGCATGATCCCTTGCGCACGCGATAAACTATAATAAAAACTGTTTCCTCATTTTTTCCTGTGTTTAAAAATTTAGTAACAGCATAATTGACAGGACAATGAATTTAAAATTAAAGAACGCTAAAGTTGCCATAAACATAAAAAGGGACCACTTACCAGTCTCATTGATTGCTTTAAAACGCCTTGCCTTTTTCAAGATACCATCACCAAACACTTTTCGAGTGAATTTATATGAGATTGTAATGCAAAAAAGAAGACACGGAAACATCGATATCTTTTCTTATTTTATGAAATATAAATCGATAACATAAACATTTTGTTAAATATTGGTAAAGAACTATATTTTTCAGTCACATTTATTTAAACATTTTTTCCCTCACTTTCAGAAGCTTAGCGCGATGTATTTTAATGTGTTTTCTGATACAGATTTCTTTGATGAGAAATTTTATGTTTAAGAAAAAAACAGAGGCGGATTAATAAACCAAACGTGCAGATACAAATTGTTTTGCCTATTTATCAACATTTTCAAAGTTCCTTTACAATTTTTAATGAGACTACGTAATTAGATTATTGGCGTAGATAAACAAACCACGTGTGGTTAGCATTTAACTATCTACCGATAGTCTTAAAGGACATTCAAATTTCCGTATCAATCAGTCTAGTAGTGTTAGAAATTACGTGTGCAATCATCTCGCCAACAGACAGACGCTTTCGTACTGAAAAGTCGTAAATCCTAGAGAAAGTATAAAATTATGCTCGAAAAGTGATTAATAGACAAAATCAATAAAATTTCATTTTCTTTTAACACAGATGCATATTTTGATATGCCACCATGATGCTGGTTATCTGTACGTGCTTAATTGTCTAATCTTCCGAACATCCGAAATTCAGCATGTATTGAACACACATTTTGTTCCATTCTTTTTCTGCTGATTAGTGAAGTTTGTCTGACTATCTCACCTCAATGTTGAATTAATGTTCTTGAAAATATGAAAAAAAAAGTTCGGCTTTGTAAATGGTCTATAACAAAATAACAAAAATATATAAAATAACAATATGGTGCAAGTATGTTGTATGTATGGTGCAACAACTAATTCATATGTAATTTGACCACCAAAATACCAAACAATATAGAATTTTCCCTCATTCATCACAGATTTTGGAAATAACTTACTCAGCCATTTTGCTACGTACAAAATTTGTGTAAAAGAATTTCTTGAACATTCAAATGTTATTGTTTGATTGTATCGTATAGTTCACGACTAACATGAATTATTTATCAATTTAATAATGACGGCAAAATAGCCCATTTTTGTATTTAAATTTCCTTGAAAAGGAGTAAGACCGATAAACGTTTACCTAGTTGTTTTAAATTTATCGTTAAAGATAATAATGTAGTACTGGTAAATGTAGAAGTAAACAAGTCTTAATAAATTTGTGTTAATATGTAAAACAGACAAGACTTTATAAGTTTTTAGTGTCAAAAAATGGAAGACAGGGAACTAATGGAAACTACCGAAACTAAACTTAGAAAACACACTATAGGAAAGACCAATATTATAGCATCAATACCATTTTTGTAAGTGTTTTAACAATTATTATTAATTTTATAAAACTTAAGTACTTGCCGTCTTAAGTTGGCAAGTACCTATAATTCTGAAAGGTTGGAAGCAAGAGCTAACAGAAGAAGATCTTTGTATACCACTGAAAGAATATGACTCTAAACGATTAGGAGACAAGTTAGAACGTATCTGGCAAGACGAAGAAAGGTTTTCTAAAAACCCGTCACTAACCACAGCGCTATGGAAACTAGTGCGAAAAGAATTCGTGATTTATGGGTTCTTGTTGTTTATATTTACAGTAACCTCCGTGTAAGTGATGTTTGTTATAAGAGTCTTCCTTCTATTCTATTTTTTAGTACCATACAGCCATTCTGCTTAAAGAAAATTTTAGATTACCATACACCCAATCAAACTGACGTATCTCTAAGAGAAGCCTACATATATGCTGCAATTACTGTCGCAACAATTTTCCTACTTATGATTATAAGTCACTGGACCTTATTACAACTCACACTTCTAGGGTTAAAGATCCGAATAGCTTGTTCTTCACTGATTTATCGTAGAGCTTTGAAACTAAAACAAAGTTCTTTAGAGAAAGTGCCGGTAGGTCACGTCATTAACTTGTTGTCAAATGATGTCAACAGATTTGAGACAAGTGTGACATTTCTTCCCAGCATTTGGATAGTACCTGTTAATATAGTAATAGTAACTGGTTTTCTGGATTTCACTCTTGGTCATACAGCCATTTGTGGAATCGGTGTCATGGTTATTTTTCTAATGTTTCAAAGTTAGTTATTTTTTAATTTTCGTTTCATATTAAGACAACTTGTTTTTGCAGTGTACTCAATGAAAATGCTTTCTTCTGTCAGACGAAACGTTGCTGAGAAAACTGATTACAGGGTGTGTTTAATGAATGATGTAATCTGCGGTATTCATGCTATCAAAATGTATACTTGGGAGGAACCGTATCTGGAACTGATACACAACGTTAGAAAGTAGGAAGTTTAATTGCCAAGGAACGTTTGACTAAGGTATATTAAATTTTTGCAGACAAGAATTGAACAAAGTAGTTACAAGTAACCAGATTCGAGTTCTAAATCTTGTTTTTAGAATATACATCTCAAAATTATGTGTTTACTTAGCAGTATTGGTATCTACATTGTTGGGATTACGTTTAACGCCGCAGTACGTGTTCGTGATGTTTAACATTTATGAAACATTGAAAATAACTACAACTTCACAGTTCCAACATGCTGTAGGACAGGTTGCTGAAACAAAGATTTCGATTAAACGAATCGAATCGTACTTATTGCACGACCACCAAACTTTTCCTTTAATCAAAAACACAAAAACGCTCACTCCAAATATAGATCCGAATCTTAAATTTAAACAAGAAAAGTATCAGACCAAAAACGGAGTCTGTCTAAAAAATGTTAGCATCAAGTGGAATTCCAGTTCTCCTAGTTTTAACTTAAAAGATGTTCATTTTGAAGCTTTACCCGGAGAGCTAGTTGCTGTAGCTGGTGCTACTGGTAGTGGAAAATCGACACTACTTTATTCAATTTTGAAAGAAGTTGATGTGCTTAAAGGCAATATTGAGGTGGAAGGAACGGTCTCTTATACATCACAAGAAGCTTGGATTTTCTCAGCAAGTATTAAACAAAATATTCTCTTCGGTGAAGATTTCGACAGACAAAAATATCTCAAAGTACTTAACGTCTGTGCTCTTGAACACGACCTAGCCCTTTTTGCGCACGGTGACCAAACACGCGTTGGTGAAAGAGGGGTTATGTTGAGTGGTGGTCAAAAGGCTAGAATCAGTTTAGCAAGAGCTGTGTACAGAGATGCTGATATTTATTTGCTTGATGATCCATTGTCAGCAGTGGATGCTCAAGTAGCACATCATATTTTTAATGACTGTATTTGTGGCTATCTGAAAACCAAATGTGTAATTTTGGTGACGCATCAGATACAATATTTAAATCGTGTAGACAAAGTATATTTTATTGAGTCACAAACAATTTATAAGTGTAATGAAGACACGAATTTTGCAAATTTTGGAAAATATTTTGTTGATGAAGTTTCAAAGTCGGAAAAAACAACACCTAAATCCTTGGAGCTACATCAACTTCAAGTTGAAACTAAAGAGCACCGAAGTTCTGATACCACGTTAAGAAAAGCCTACAAAGATTACGTTAGTGCAGGAAATTTTTTGTTTACTTCTGTTGTGTTTGGTTTTTTCTTGTTAAGTTTAGGGATAAATATTGCAGTTGATTATTTTATCACATTATGGGTCGATTCAGAGCAAGGAGCTACCAACACAAGTTCAAACTGGTTAAAATTACTCGACAAAAATTATTATTTATACATATATACGGCTCTAGTGTTGCTTTTAACACTGTCGTCACATGGTTTTTCTTGCTTGTTCGTAACGTGGTGCAAATCAATTTCAATCAACTTGCATAACATTATGTTACAAAGGATTGTCAATGCAACTGTAACATTCTTCAATCGGCATTCTTCTGGTCGAATTCTTAATCGTTTCACCAATGATGTAGCAACCATTGACGATATTATTCCAGTGACTTTTATGACTTTACTAACGAGCCTTAATGTTATATTAAGTGTAATTTGTCTTATTATTTTGTCAAATTACTGGATCGTTTTTCCTGTAGTTTTGGTTATTCTAATAACGATAGGTTTTAAAATGATATTTCAGCACACTAGTCGCAGCCTAAAAAGAACAGAGGCAGTAGGTAAGTTATATTACTTTTAATTTGTTCGTCAAAGTTAAACATTATGTTTGTCCAGCTCGAAGTGCAGCACTTACACATTTGTCGGCATCTTTACAAGGTTTGCCGATAATAAGAGCTTTCGGACTCGAAAGTAAAATGGTAGATGAATTTGATCATCACGAAAGCCTCCACAGTTCAGCCTATTATTTATTTACGGCAACATTCTCCGCATTTGGCTTCTGGACGGATCTTGTTTGCTCCTTATTCAACACTCTAGTAATTTTTAGTTTCTTCTTTCTAAAAGTTGGTATGTATGACAGAATTCAGTTCTTTTTTTTTCTTACAAAAGTATAGATTCTTCTGTGGGTTTCGTTGGGTTGACCATAACACAGTCTATGGTGTTAGTACGACTAGTTCAGTATACTTTAAAAAACTGGGGAGATCTTGAAGCAAGAATGGTTGCAGTGGAACGAATAAAGGAATATACAGAAATAGAAACAGAAAATAACGATGGAGTTGTAAAAGTAACCCAAGAGTGGCCAATGACTGGCAAACTATCATTAATTTCAGTTTCTCTACGATATTCTCCCGATACTCCCTTTGTCTTGAAGAATATCTCTTTCGAAATTAAACACGGAGAAAAAATTGGAATTGTTGGCAGAACCGGTGCTGGCAAAACCTCACTCACGTCAGTGCTTTTCCGATTGTTTCGCTATGAAGGAGATGTTTTTATCGACGGAGTTGACACTAAAACCATACCTTTAAACGTTCTTCGTTCTGCAATTACCATAATCCCCCAAAACCCGGTTTTATTTTTGGGTACTGTGCGCAAAAATATAGACCCTTTTGACAGTTACACCGATGACGAAATTTGGAGTTGTTTGGAAGAATTAGAACTGAAAGAAATGGTTTCTAAATTGCTAAATGGCTTAGAAAGTCAAATTTCCGAGAGGGGCACAAATTTTAGTTTCGGTCAAAAACAGTTGCTGTGTCTTGTTAGAGCCATGTTGAGAAATAATAAATTAATCGTGCTGGATGAAGCTACAGCCAATGTCGATTTAAAGACGGACGAACTAATTCAGTCCGTTATTAGACGGAAATTTGGAAATTGTACCGTGTTGACTATAGCGCATCGTATAAACACGGTCATAGATTCTGACAGAATTTTGGTCCTCGATGATGGTGTAATTGTGGAATTTGATCATCCTTTTCAGCTGTTGCAAAACACGAAAGGCTTTTTTTATGAATATATTAAACAATATGGAAGTGTAGTGGTGTCGGAGTTTAAGGCAAGTGCTGAAGATGTAAGTTTTATACAATTTGAAAATAAACATGAGATTGAACTTTGGCTTTTTAGAATTACAGACAACTAAAAGCTGCTTCAACTTTAATAGAATGATGAAGGATGAAAGTTAATTTACTTGTGTTTATCTTGAATTAAATATATCATCAATTTTTATCATTAGTTATTTATTCATTTTTAATGATCATGTCAAGGATAGAGCACAAACCAGTAATATGTTTCACAACCAATGTTTTCTCGACGTTTCATGACCTCTAGTGCACGAAAAAATAGGTCTTCCGTTTTCTGTCTGTCTGCCGTTTGCCGTCTGTTGGTGTCGAATTTTATTAGTGAGATAATTTACGAAACTATTAGATTGTTCCTTATGTAATTTTATACATTCCTTACGAATATCTTGTAGATACTAAAACGCCAACAAGGTGATGACGTCCACTTAAAAAGTTTCAAACGCAAAACTAGTTAAATTGTTTGAAATAACATATTCCTGTACTTGTATAGTTGTAGCGTGTCACGTAACCAGTGTTTGACTTACGCTGGTGTTGAACTTGACCTCCATTCCCGTGAGTTCGAATCCCATACTCGTCAATTTTTTTTTTATTGAACATATTGAATTTGTTGGAATGTTTACTTAAGGGGCGGGGAATTTTAGACTATTTTTTTTATTCCGTATTTGCTTTCCTGGCGATACATTTCATAAAAATAGCGCTATTCCTATAATCTGGTTCATGAAAACGCAGATGGTTTACCTCTGTAAACATGCATAATGAACCATCACCACCACACCAAACACACCGACAGTACTACCTTGAGCCGAAATCCGAGTATGTTGGTGATCATGATGGTTTCGGTTTCGATCAGGTGATGATTTTAAGCGAAATTCGATACCTTTGAGATTGTGGCGCGACGCCTCGAATCGACGGAAACGACGACGCCGGATACAACATATCGAACGGGCGTCGCGACGCACTCTTCTCGCGTTCAGGTGCGAATTCAGACTGACGGAATTTTGTTGTATAGAGGATAGGCGGGCGTCACTGATTAAATTAGCGATTCCACGTGATGGTTTGTATCGATTTGGGGAGATAAATGACATGGAGGATGAATTATCTATACCGCCAGCGACCCGAAGTTTGACCTTGTCACCCTAGTTTAATAAGTGGCTGGCGTAATTTGGAAGTTTGAAGGAATTGAGGTTATTTTGGGGGAGGGAGGATTTGGGAGAAGGGTGTGGGGAAGCTTGGAGGACTAAACATTGTCTGTAAATCGTTGTATGTTAAACTGAGTGAAAAAATGAAATAATGCAAATTTTAATTACTTTAAAGTTCACGACTGTTAGCATTCAGATTTATTTGCTAGTATTTTTTTAATTCAGTGTACAGCCTTTTCGAATATGCTAGAACAGTCTAGAGTATTCGAGAATACGTCGTCTGAATCAACGGTTACATCAAAACATCACTCATCTTTCAGTCTGGTAGTTTTTCTTAGAAGTTGAATAGTAATGTAACTTTTTGCTCTTATTTTTGAATGATTGATGGCTGTTTTAATATTTAATACGTTTTCTACGAACTCTTTTAAATTTTTAAAGTGAAATATCACTGACAGTTTGGCTCGTAAACGTCAAATGTCATGAAAGTGTTTAAAAGGGACCTGAAACCGTGTGCGCGACAGCTGTTACCACAGCACTAACAAATTTTCATGACAAGGAACTGAGCAGAAATTAAAAAATTATTAAGTTACTTTAGATTTACGTATATAAGGTCAAATTACGTGTTAACGAGGTTTAGATTACGACTTAAACCAATTATTGCATTACTCAAAAAGGCTGACAAAAACTGTGTTATTTATACGGGACTGTTATAAATGATTCCAATGGCGTACTTGGCCATGGATTTCAAATATTTGTGTCTTGTTATTGTAATGAATTAGTTTTATTTTTTAATAAGATATGAAGCATTTAGGTAACTAGTTATTCAGATGCGTGTGGTCTTTGTCGTGCGTCCGCGGGTATTTAGTTAAGTTCAAAACTGAGAGGCGACACGTTTTCATGACCTACTTCCAGCCTATAGTCATTTATAGAAACATGAATTAAGGTCATAAGAGAAAAACAATTATCTACGCTATGATCATTCTCGTAAAAGTGGGGGAATGAAAGAAATCTGATAACCAGCCATTGATATTTTATAGGTTAGTGAAGTTGTGTTTAAACTAGTTTTTTTTTTTTTCAATTTACTATATAAAATTTGGATGCGGGCATCGACGCTCTGGGGTACCGCGGCTGCTGGCGCCTCCGGAAAATTTCCAATTTCCAGATGGTCCCATTCTCCCCTGGTGTTACTTCTTTACAAAATGATATTAAATAAGAATCTTAACCTCACTTTTTTTAGGGATAAACTTAGTTTCTCAAAATGTAAAGCAGCTTTCACATCTAAAGCAGAGTTTAGACTGTCATGGCTGACTCTTATGCCAGTTGTATTGAAATGTACTATACTTATAATTATAATAATCATAGTGCGCGGACATTGCCGAGTAATCCATAGGCGTGCGAGCTTTGCGTTGCAAACCGTAAGGTCGTACGTTTACGTTGACAACTATTGTTCTGAAATTTTGCCTTATAGTTTACAGTTTATGGGAAAATCAGCTTCTATTTTTACACTTAAATATACGATTTTTTCAGTGTTTCCGAAACTGTAAGTGAGCCGTCTTGTATGTACTTGTACTGCAAATTTTTTCATTTTCGTATTATTAGTGTTGGCCCAAATGTTGTTGCCTCTTTAGTGCTTTATTAAATTTTTTTGTAATACTTACTTCGGTTCATCCGACAAAGGTGTGCTTTCATGTTTTCTCGATGTTTCTCTATCGTCTATGTCGATTTTTGTTGCACAGATAAACTTGTAAAGCACAGGATCGATTGTTGTTAAATTTTATATGTATGTTAGGAATATCGCGTACATGGTAAAACGCGAACCAGATTTTGTCTAGTCGTCCCCACTAACAAATTGCTGACGTCACCTCACAACTGTGATTGGTAAATGATACTTAAATTTTATAAAATACTCCTGTATTTGTGGTTTATGAATCTGTGTTACTTTTTCTTCCTACAGTGTGACTACTAATATCTATATTTTTTAAATTATAGGGGTTATCTTCACATTAATAAAATTTTTGCATACCAAATTCTCTAATTTTTCTTGAATAACTAATGAAAGTAATAATAGAGCACAAATTTATTCCTGAGTTATATTGCCTCACCTGCATCCTAAAACAAGCCTCCCTTGTAAGAGAGGCTATTATTGCTGGTTTGAGAATCCAAACAACGTTAATTATGTAATCACAAGGGTTAAGGGAGGCGAAGATAACGAATTAATTATAAAATATGAGCATGGAACCAAGAGATTCTAAGTATGTTAAAATCTTCTTCTAAAAATGATGTCACTGCAGAGTTTCACAGAGGTCAATACAGTGTTATATCCACCCATCAAGAAATTTCTGCGTGTAAAGCTTAGAGTCAATCTAGATGATATTTTAATACTTTTAAAGTAGCGTTTGGCAGTGTAGTCGGAATTGACGCGTTCCTGAAAGAATTAACAACTTACATTTAATCTCCGGGTGACAGTTTCTGGAGGTTTCCTGGAGAAATGGTGCACATACAACATTTCACCTTCGTATAGTGAGCGTGCACACAATATTTCACTTACGGGTGATATGTATTGAGAAATGTTTTCCTCCAAACTCCAAATACACCTTGTCAACCACGAAACTCCATAATCAACTTTGGAATTGCCAAAGAAAAATAATCTAATTATTATTTAAATTAATCGCATATTTTAATATATGTTTTCTCCGTGTTACTTCAAACAATCAGTTTTTGACAGACTTTATGTAGAATTGTTTCGTAAAGTGAGATTTATTCAAAAGACGCTGAGAGTACAAAGCAGATCGTGGCCAGCCCTTAAGGGAGAGCTTTGTGAAATTCCAGGTAGAGCTGTTTCTAACGGCCGATATGCTCCTACCATACTCTCCTTCAAAATAAATTTTCTTTCAATTGGTACATTCGTTTTGAATATTTATAATACTACATGAAACATGAAGGGACATTTTGTTGACAACGGTCTCGCAGAATCCACTCTCAAATGGGGTTTTGCGGCAAATCAAATGCAAAATTCATGTGTGTTCCGTATATCGAAATTACACAGTGCATTGTTTACATATTGAGGATTTTTTGACGTAAATATTACAAATAAAATTACAGAGAGCGCCTGACTAACGACTGTTGAATAAACGAGAACATAAATGGGAAGTACGACAAAGTTTGTTGATTTTATTGGTTGATTTATAGAGCTTTCAGTCATCATTAATAAATAAGTAAATGCGGTCAGCTTAAAATAGAATCTCGTAGACTATAGTTAGGTAAACTGCATGATTATTAAATTTTTAATTTTTCTGTATTTAAAGATATGTATTGTTCAAACAAGTGGTACTTCGTAAAATATGCTTTCTATTTTTCCAATTTTTTACTCCGCCTGTATTTGCACAGTTTGTGTTGGATATTTTAGTGTGGTACATTTTTTTCTTGAAAATCTTTTGCAAATATTAACTTTCACAGTTAATTGAATACAAATACTATTATTATTATAACAGGCAGTGAATATTTGCAGACGATGAGTTCATACGTCTATAGGAACACAACGAGCCCGCCGAGTTACTAGGAGCGTCTGGTAGACACTTAACTGTCACGTGGAATGAATTTAAGCAAAATGAAAGAAACTCTTTTCAATAAATAATATTTAGAAAAGAGTTTTTTGATATGAGTCGTTTGAAATATTTTCTGCCGGGAACGTATTATGAATGACAGGAATGAATCTTTAATGGACTTTTATTAATTTTTAATTTTTTATAAGGGAAGCTACCCAAAATGTTAATCGTTTTAGCTTTAAGTATTCATTTAGAAGAATCCCTAGAAATATTTATACAAAGCTAACCGCTTTAAATGCGATGCTTACAGGTTTAATCATTTATTGTAGAGGTACGTTTGACTTCGTTAATATTAACGTCAAAAAAACCCTAAAACAACGTTAATAATACATGTCGAGTCTGTTCCAACACACG